CGGTGTTTTTTTTCCTGCATCCAAGAGAGGACGGGCACAAGGCATGGCATGAGATTCGGGAGACGGTGCTGGAGGTAAGAGCCGCTCGGGAAAACCCTGCACAACACAAAGCCGGTGCCAGTGCCGGTGTCGGTGCCGGTGCCACCGACACAGACGCGGTCGCGGTCACTGGCACTGACACGGACACGGACACGGACACGGACACGGACACGGACACCGATACCGACACCGACATGGGCACCGGCACCGAGGCTGCAACCACCCCCCGCCGCATCCCGCATCATGGTGCCGCGTTATATAACGGCGGCGGAGCCGGCCCGGCCCCGGGGCTCCCGGTCCGGTGGCGCCCCCCACTCCCCCGCCTGCATCCCGGTAGCTCAACCGAGGATGGTGGTCAGTGTGAACCCCCCAGCGATGCAGCTCCCCTCACCCAGGTTTGGAGACGGAGGGATGCTGGGGTTGGGGGTAAGGTGGTGCCCCCCCCGCCCAGCATCACCGGATGGGTAACGGCAGAGAGGAGGGGGGATCGGTGGGTACCGGGAGATGTGGGGATGCTTTGGGATGGGGAGGTTGGGGGTGTAGGGCTGCTGCTTGCCCCCCCACACCCTTTCTGCTGCCAGCTCCCAAACTGCCCCTTGTTCTCCCTGGTGGCACTATGGGACCATTGGCACCCCCAGTCCTGCACCCTAACACCCCGGCACCCCAACACCTCGGTGGGGCTTTCCTTGGATGCGGGGTGACACAGGCCGAGGGGGGGAACAGAGACAGCCACCCTCCATCCCAGGGCCCAGGGGAAGACCCCGGCTGGATGGGGTCGAGGGGTCTGAACCCTGCAGTGGGGTCCCACAGAGCCCAGTTTGGGGCCAGGGACCCCCCAGCAGCCCAGGAGGGCGGTGAGGGGCTGGGGGCAGATTATTTTGGTGGAACAGGGGATGGGGACAGGTGGAGGGTCTGTGAGCAAGGCCATCTGGGGCTGGGGGCCGGTGGCTGAGCAGACCCTATGGAAGGGCTGGGGCAGGCTGGGCTGGGCACAGATGGAGGAAACTGAGGCATGGGGTTGTGGCAGCAACCAAACAGAGACCCCCAGGACCTCGGTCAGGTTGGGTCTGGGGGTGCCATGGGGTATCAGGCCAGGGTGGCTCCGGCTCTCAGGCATCCGCCAGCACTGGTGGGACATGGCGGTCCCCAGGCGGCAAAGGCCAGAGTGTGGTGGTCTCTGTGCCAGGGATGCTCCTACCAGAGGTCCTGCTCCATCACTGCCCTCTGCCCGGGGTACAGGGGGTCTCAGGCCCCCTCCACAGCACCCAGGGTATCTTGGCACGCAGCAGGGTGGGAGCAGCAGGCACAAAGCGAGCACCATGCTGTGCTGGCATCTCCCCTCCTCTGAAAGCTGGGTGCTGATTTCACTCTGGCTACCAGGAAGAGGGAGGGAGGTGGCTTTGGAGTGGGGAGGACTCACTCGAGCATCCATTTTTAATGAGCTAGATATCTATTTTTCCCCGAGCTGGCTTCCCCCACATCGATCTCTTTGCCATCCACCAGGCCTGATCTCCTCCCCGTGCCAGCAGCTCCACGGTGGTGGGGAGTAGAGGGACCAGAATCCCCAGTGCTGGGAACCTCACCCCAGCTCTTGGGGACAGAGAGAACCTTGCTCCAGCCAGGGCAGCACATGTGGGAAGGTGGGAGGGGGGAAAGGGTCCCCTTGTCCTCTCCGACAGGGTCACATCCATGTTGACCCTCCTGTGGGGATGTGGCCAAGCTCCAGCCAGGAGGAGGTGTCTGAAGCGGGAGCACTTGGAGTTTGGGGGCTGGATCCTGCCTTCATGATCTGCTGATTTAAGCTGTGCCTGACTCAGACTTTGGCAGCTCCATGGCAAAACCACATCACCCTGCCCGTACCTCAGTGTCCCCATCTCCAGTCCTTGGCCCATTTCTTCCATCAGTGCCTGTGCAGATGGAGCTGTGTCTGGAGAGGGGAAAGGGGATTCGGGAGGTGAGTGGGTGCTGATGACGTGGGAGGGAGCAGAATGGGGTGCGCGGGCGAGCGGGGCTCCTTTGGCAGCATCCCACCCTCGCCCAACCTCTGCCCACCCATCATGGGGACTGGCCACATTTGTCGGGTGCTCCAGGGCTGGTGGTGCAGAGGAGGGGGCCAGGGCTGAAGGGGAGAGTGTTTGGGGAGGGGACAGGTCAGCAGAAGCTATTTCTGCAGAGTTTCTCCCTGCTGGAACTGTGACCCATGCCCAGCTCCTGGCTGGGGGAAGTGGGCAGCCAGGGGGCTGCCCTGGGAGCAGAATCAAGCCAGTGCCTTTGCTTCCAGCATGCATCAAATGGCTTTTTGGAGCCTGTGGTGATATTTAGCACTCCCAACTCCCTGCAGCAAGGAGTCCTATGGCTGAACTCTGCCTGTCTGCCCCGGCATCCCATAAGCCTGGTACTGACGGCCCCCGTGCTGGGCAGGCATTCACCCACCTTGGCCCAACCCCGGCTCCCAGCTAGACCCCCAAGCCCTGGGGGGAAGGGGCATGGCTTCTTCTGTGGCTGTTGCCATGTCTGGAGGGATGAGGGGATTTGAAGAAGTGGCGCAAGACCCAGCAGTATCCGAGGAACACATCAGTGTCCTCAGGACAGGGGGCTCAGGGACAGCTGTGGGCTGTAGTCTTCTGGCTCTTCTCTCTGCCTAGGGTCTTGCATTTTTGTTCACTTTTCCTGGGCCCAAGAGGGGCAAAGAGAAGGGCTGTAACATGCTGAATGCTGTTGCTGGGGTCTGGCTGGTCTTGCAGCAAGGGGAGACCAGGCCACGCAGGAGCTGCTGTAAGAGGATCTGTTCCCTCTTCCCCTCACCTTGGTCAGTGGGGAGCAGGATGGAGCTTGGCTGAAGCATGAGCATTCTCCCATAGCAGTGAGGGCTGGTACCTCTGGAGGAGGCTGGAGGAGATAGGTCCAGGGCAGCACATTGAGGTGTAGCTTTGCCCTGGCCTGTGCATCCCATGTTCTTCTTGGGTGGGATGTCCCTCCAGGGGACATGAGGCTGCCTGGGATAGGGAGGGACGTCAGGACGTGATGTCTTTGGGAGATTTGGGTCTTAGCAGAGAAGACAAATACTGCTGAAGGAAAGGCTTGAGGCAGCCAGAGGGGACCCTGCTGCCTGTTGTGAAGAAGTTTTGGCTGGCCAGGCCTGGGAGGCTGGAGCTCTGCCTCCTCCCTGTAACTCGCCCATGCTGTGGGCTCCGGGGGACAGGAGCTGCACCTCCCAGTGCTCCTGGACTTGTGCTGTTCTTTCAGCTAAGCAGAAAGTGGTGGAGACCCAAACAGATCTTGGCTTTGGCACCTCAGCCAGCATTTCCCCATCTCCCTGGGCATGGGGCTGACCCTGCAGAGCCCAGCCCCAGGTCTTGCCATCCAGAAAGGCTGTGGGACCTGGGGGAGAGCAGTGCTAGGGAGTCTCTAATGTGTCAGCTCTGCTGCCTGGCCATGAGCTGCCTGAGACCCAGTGACAGATTCACCAGTCAGCCTGGCACTGAGTGGCATCTGGCAGAAGTGGGACTCAAACCAGTTGTTTTCCCAGCTCCTCCTGAGCCTCCTAGTCCACTGCAAGGTGGGACAAACTTTTTGGTGTCATTGGGATCCAACGAGGGAGCAGGAAATCTGCTCTTAGCCCTCTGGTCTCCCAAGAAGCTCTCAGAGTAATCTCAGGAAGAAGTTTCCTGGCTCCCATCACACAAATGGCAGGTCTCCAGGGCCAGGTGGAGTGGTGAGGCCCCTCCTCACCACGAATTCCTGGCTTGTGCAGCAGGGGAATAGGTAGCGCTGAGTTGGGAGCTGTGCTCTGAGCCTTCTCTCCCAGCTGACTTGTATGAGTGCCGAGCCTGGGAGCGCAGGTCTGTCTGTGCACACATGCACGCACGCACATGTACAGCTTCTCCCTACCCAAACACACCCTCTGACCCTCCATTTCCAGAGGAGCTGGTGGCTCCTCCAGGGCTTTCTGTGGCTTCTCTGCATTGCCGGGGTGATCCAAGTCCTCTGAGGGGACCTGTTCTCCGAGGCCAGCAGTCATACACCCCTCTGACTGCTCATGGCACGGGCCCTGGTCTGACATGATGGGATCAGAGCAGGAGGCAGCTCGCATACCACCGAGCACTGCCAGGGAAGGCAATCTGTACAGGGGGACATCTTTATTACTACCATGTTCTTCAGTCAGCAGGTTCATTCCCCCCCCGCCCCCCACCAAAGCAAGACCATTGCCGCTGGCTGGGCATGTCGCGTAGAGCTGAGGGATGCCCGGGTAGCTGTTGCCCTCAGGAGTGCTGGACAAAAGCCTTGCCTGTGTGCTCTGCCTCAGCACTATGTCTCGGGTGTGTTTTCTCCGCCTGTAGAGCAACTTGATTTGCTGCATTAGTAAAAATAGATGGGCTAATGAATTCAGCTGATGCAACTCTCTGTGTGTGTGCGCGTGCATGCGCTTATCTCTGTTTGTGTGTGTACGTGTGCATGTATATGTGCAGCTGAACGCTGAGGCTTGTCTGAGGTGAATCTGCCAGCTCCGTGGGGCGCTGACGGGGTGGTTGTGTGTGTGCCCATGTGTGTCTGTGTGTGCATGTATATAAATATATGTGTGTCTGTGTGTGCAGGAAGCCGTGAGAGATGGCTGCTTGCTGCCGAGCAGCTCTGTCACTGAAGCAGTGGCTCTACAGAAATAATTTTGCAGCACCACGGATTCCGGCAGGGCAATACCAGGGTTTCCGGCAGGCAGGAGGGACGGCGGGGACCTGGGGGGGCGATATCGGCCCCTCGCAGGGGGCTGTTGAGGGGGGGTGTCTCGGAGGGGCACGTTTGCGGGGTGCCCTGGCGGGGTGAGGCGGCGGCGCGGGGCCGCTGTCCGCGGTGCTGAGCAGGGCCGCTGTCCGCGGTGCTGAACGGGCCTCCCCGCCCCGCAGGACCGGGGTCCCGGGGGCTCCCACGCCCGGCCTGTCCGGGGTCTCCAGTGGCCTTCCGAGCCCCGCTGACCCAGAGTGCTCGGGAATCTCCAAGCCCGGCAGGACCAGCGCTCGCCTGCCAGCCCGGCCGCAGCGGGATGACTGTTGGATCCCGCAGGTCTCATCTGCCACAGCCAGGGGGGGTCTCCCAGTGAACACCCATGCAGGGGTGGCACTAACAGGGTGACTGATCATTCTGCCCGTCTCTTGAGGCCCTCATCCCTCTTCGCTACCACATGGAGATTGTAAACTCTTCAACGGCTTGGGGAAGCTCTGTCTTCCTGGCAGCTTTTGTCCTATTCTTCCCAGCATCTTCATCATCTGTGTAATGTTTGTAGTGACAGGCTCTTAGACCCCCTTCTTTCTTCTCGCTTCCTGCGTCAAATCCACCCCCCACCACTGCATCATCGCTCATTGTGGATGACAAAACCCTCATGAATGGAGTGACTTCTCTGGCAATGACGTTTCCTGTGAAACGTGCACCCTGGAGTGAATTCAGGAGACTAAAAGACTTTGCCCTTTGCTTTTGTCAGGTTCCCTCCCACTGTGGATTTGGGAGCTAGCACTCCACTGCTGGCAGACACTTCCCCCATGAGCTGTGGCCTGTGAGAGCAGAGGGGGGGTGCTATGGGGGGGTTGTGAAGCTGGGCCCTTCCTGTTGGATCCCAGAGCAAGAATGGTTGTACCAAGTACTCAACTCTGATGATGTTGTGCTTAGCCCAGTCATGCAATCTGCAAAGTGAGATAATGGGGAGAGAAGAAAAGGCCAAATCTCTGCTCTCCTGCTGCTCTGGGGTAAACAAAAAGCATATGGAGGTGCTCATGGAACTGCTGGAACATCAGAGGGGCTCTGTACTGGCACCTCCAAGGCAGATGGCTTCGTATCTCCCTGTCTCTCTGCTGTCTTGGTGGGTCAGAAGGAGAGCCTGGGCAGGGCAGGGTGTGCGCTGGGTGTCCCAGCATGCAGCAGCTCTGATCTCTGCAGGATGCAGTACTTGCACTTTGTACATCGGAGCAATGTGGCCTGAGCCCCGGGGTGCAGGAACCTGAGGGGCTGCTTGGCTGCTGGCAGGGACTTTCCTGCAGCAGTGGAAGGCAGATCCCAGCACTGCCCCATGATACCAGAGACAGAGGAGAGAGAGGCTATCAGACCCACTCCCCTCCCCAGTCTGTGTCCCCAGGCCACCTTCTCCAGGCTGGGGTCCTCCTGCTAAGCACTGTCCTGCTCCTTTTGGGGTGGTAGGAACCCCCAAATCCTTGACTGCTCATTTTTCCAGAGAGATGTGGCTGTGTACAGCCAGCCTGCCTGCCTGGCCTCCTGCTGCCACTGCCTGGAGCTTCCCTGTGCCCAGAAGGCCTGAATCTCTGTCCATTTTTCTATTTGATGTGACTTCGCAGCTCATTCACAGTTTGGAATTTCTGTGAACCAGACAGGCAGCCTCAGCGCCCGGGGCGGGGGGACCTGGCTCAGCTTTCCAAGGCAGGACTGGGAAAGCTGCTGAGTCCACTCAGCCCCTCCCTGGGTCCAACCTCGGAGACCAGCCTTGGTCTGTGCTGATTGTAATCGTTGCCAACACCTCCCGCTGGCTGCATTTCAGTCCGGTGACTTGTCAGCATCTGTCTCCTCCTGTGACTGTCCCCTTGGGCTCCCGAGGCCCCGGGCTGCCCCTCTGCCACCACCTGCCCTCTCCCTTGGGGCAACCAGCATGCTGAAAGGGTCTGGCTGTGGGCTCCGTGCCGGAGTAACAGTCTTTCTGTGCCGCCTGGTAATTATCTGGATTTGAGCTGTATGGCTGTGTTAGACACCCTGGTGCATGTTCTGTTTACTTCCCTAATTGCTGCCAAGCACCGAGCCCCTGGTTTTAAGTTTCTTCCTTCTTTCCCCTCCTTTTCTGCTTTCAAGTGAGTTTAACACATGTCCAAGCATCAGAGGCCCAGCTCCTCTGTCGGGCAGATTGAGCAGAGGCAGCAGAGGCTGTATTGGAGTGGGGAGCGGCGCCAGACTGTCTGCACAGGGCCGGGCTCATCCCCAGAGCCTGGGCTCTCGCCGTGCCGCTGCCACCGGGCCAGACTGGCTGCAGGCACCTCCGCACCGCTGCTGCTTGCACCACGGGAGAGGCTTCAGCAGCTCCCACCGGCCCCATCCCGCAGCCCCACTGTGCTGGGGACAGTGTCCCCTGGAGCTGCCGTACACCACGCATCGTGTGGGGTTTGCTGGCTGTGCTGCGGGCAGCTGCCTGCACTCCTGGGCTCTTCCACAACACTTTTCAGACGGCTCCTCCCCTCCCTGGCCAGTCCAGGAGGGCTGGGTGAGGCCCAGGTAAAAGCGATTGGCTGGGGAGCCGTGGGGAATCTAGGCTGCACCTCACTTGTCAGCCATCCCCCCCCAGGCTGCATGAAGCATCCTCAGAGCCTGTGGACTTGGGCCCTGAGCATCACCAGCCAAGATGTTGCTCCCTCAGTGCCCCTCCATGAGGGCCTGGCCATCTCTGTCCCAAATCAGGCAGCTAAAATAATTGCTTCGGTCATATCTTGGGTCTAGGGAGAACTGACAATGGAGAAGATCCTCAGGTCCCATCAGCCACCACCAGATGGACATGCAAGCTATCCCTTGGAGCTTGGGGACCATGTTCTTGTCCCCTGGTTCATGGGCTGGAAGTCACTTTCCTGGGCTTCAGCTCCTCACCGTGTCCCAGGGGCTGCCAGGAGCCCAGCACCCTCCAGTCTCAGACCCTGCTCTTTGGCAGGGTTTGACATGGCACCAGCAAACAGGGTGCAGGCAGGACAGGCAGCACACCAGCAGGGCCCCACGCCAGACATTGGCTGGGGCAGGAGGCGAGGGGCGGCTGAGCCCCCATCAATTATTCACCTCCATATTTATAGAGGGAAATGTGTTGAATAATGGATGGCGGGGTGCACTGGGGCTGTTGGAAAGCCGGCCTTGCTGCCGCTGAAATATTTATTGGCCTGGTTTGCTGGGGTGCCACCCGGCTGCCGCAGGCTCAGCAAGGCTCAGTGAGGCTCCTGACTGGCATGGGCTCAGCACCGAGCACCCAGTTGGCACGGTGAGCACGGGCAGCTCTGCTCTGCTGCCACTTCCTCCTGTCCCCTCCACAAAAAAGATGAGAGGGTGGGACACCTCTCCTGTGAGGACAGGCTGAGAGAGTTGGGGGTGTTCAGCCTGGAGAAGAGAAGGCTCTGAGGAGACCTTATAGTGGCCTTCCAGTACTTAAAGGGTATAAGAAATATGGGGAGGGACTCTTGATCAGGGGGTGTAGGGATAGGACAAGGCCTAACAATTTTAAACTAAAAGAGGGGAGATTCAGACTAGATAATATAAGTAAGACATTTTTTACGATGAGGGTGGTGAAACATTGGCAGAGGTTGCCCAGAGAGGTGGTAATGCCCCATCCCTGGAAATGTTCAAGGCCAGGCTGGACGGGGCTCTGAGCAGCCTGATCCGGTTGAAGATGTCCCTGCTCACTGCGGGGCTAGATGACCTTCAAAGGTCCCCTCCAACCCAAACCATTCTGTGATTCTATGATCCTGCTCCATGTCCCCTTGGTGGCTGGATCCCAGGCTCAGAGAGGGATGTGAATGTCCGGGGACAAATCACCATCTGTCTCCCCCATCACGGGGGATGCCAGAGCCATGCAGCCCCTCAGAGGACATCCCCACTCTGTGCCCCAGGCATGTCCCCTCCGCAGCTGTGCCCAGCAGCCCTGCACCGCCTGCTCCCCCATGCCACCTTGCTCCCTGCACAGGACCCCCAGCATCTCCCTCTCCACTGGTGCCATGAGCCCCCCAGCCCTGCCTGCTCTCCCTTCCCACTCTCCCTGATAGACCGGCAGCCCCTCAGCCCACATCCCTGTGTTGCAGAGAGACCTGTGGAAGATGTCGAACCCGAGAAACGGCGACACCAAGCCCCCATGTTTGCCCCGCAATGGACTGGTGAAGATCCCCACACAACCCAACGGCCTTGGCTCCGCCAGCATCACCAAAGGCACCCCCGCCGTGAAAAACCGCCTGTGCCAGCCTTCCTCTGTGCCTGCCATCCTCAGCCCGGCCTTAGCCCACCGCAGCGACCTGCCCATCCCCAGCCTGGCCTCCCCGCTCTCCTTGGCCGCTCTGGCCAGTGTCTCCTCCCCTCCCGGCGCTTCCTTGGTGGGACTGAACACGAGCGAAGGCTCAGAGCAGCCCTCACCGGAGCGGCTGCCTGGCTCGCCCTCGGAACGGCAGCTGGCAGTGGATGAGAAGATCCTCAACCGCTTGTTCTGGTACTTTTCGGCGTGTGAGAAGTGTGTGCTGGCGCAGGTGTGCAAGGCATGGCGGCGGGTGCTCTACCAACCCAAGTTCTGGGTGGGCTTGACACCCGTCCTGCACACCAAAGAGCTCTACAATGTCCTGCCTGGTGGTGAGAAGGAGTTCGTCAGCCTGCAGGGCTTTGCTGTCCGTGGCTTCGAGGGCTTCTGCCTTGTGGGCGTCTCCGACCTGGACATTTGTGAGTTCATTGACAACTACCCCCTCTCCAAGAAGGGGGTCAAGTCCATGAGCCTTAAGAGGTCAACCATCACAGACGCAGGGCTGGAGGTAGGTGACCCCAGCAAGGTGGCCATGGTGGCTGAGACGTGGCATTATCAAGTCCTTCCTGGTGGCCCCCGGGACACACGCACAGGCAGAGCTTTCACCAGCCATGGGCAAGGAGCAGGCAGGCGGCATGGCCGTCTCATGGTTCAGACAGCATCTGGAGCCCCAGCCTGTGCTGCCCTTCCAGGCAGGGGGTGGGGATGCTGTTGGGGGTGGGGGGTCATCCCTGCTGACTGGAGATGCTGCCTGCAGATGCTGCCAGGAAGGCAAAGCCAGGTGAGGTGGCCATGCCAGTGGGTGGTGGATGTGGCAGGGGGCTTAGGGGACAGGGACATCCCCACTTGGCTGGCTTGGCCCCAGCAAGGGGCGCATCTGGGCAGAGGCTGTGGGTCAGATGGACATGGGGCAACTCATGGTCCTGCGTGGTTCCAGGCCAAGTCCCCAGCGAGGTCCCCTGCACTACGCCATGGCCAAACACAGCGCCAGCTGCTCCATGGCCACATCCTGCCCCAGCAGTGCCCAGGCTGGAAGTGGGCATTAATCCTGCCTGCCGCCAACAGCACGGAGTACAGGGCAGGGGCTGTGGTCAGGGGTCCCTGCCTGTCCCCTCCTGTCCCCTGCGGATGCTGGCATGTCCTAGAGTGGGGCGCTGCTCCAACGCTGCAGGGGGCCTGGGGAGAAGGCTGGACCCATGCAAGGCTAGGGGCAGTGGGAAGAGCCCCAAGGAGCTCAGAGGGAGCTGGGACAAGGGCACAGGGCAGTGCAGGGTGGGTGGTGGTGCCCACTGAGCCCTGACCCCCTGCCCCTTGGCAGGTGATGCTGGAGCAGATGCAGGGCGTGGTGCGGCTGGAGCTGTCGGGCTGCAACGACTTCACAGAGGCTGGGCTGTGGTCCAGCCTCAATGCCCGCATCACGGCGCTGAGCGTCAGTGACTGCATCAACGTGGCCGACGACGCCATCGCCGCCATCTCGCAACTCCTGCCCAACCTCACCGAGCTCAACCTGCAAGCCTACCACGTGACGGACACGGCACTCGCCTACTTCACCGCCAAGCAAGGCTACACCACCCACACCCTCCGCCTCAACTCCTGCTGGGAGATCACCAACCATGGCGTGGTCAACATGGTCCACAGCCTGCCCAACCTGAGCGTCCTCAGCCTCTCGGGCTGCTCTAAGGTGACGGATGACGGCGTGGAGCTGGTGGCAGAGAACCTGCGGAAGCTGCGCAGCCTCGACCTCTCCTGGTGCCCTCGCATCACCGACATGGCCCTGGAGTACATCGCCTGTGACCTGCACAAGCTGGAGGAGCTGGTGCTCGACAGGTACGGGGCCATGTTGAGCCCCGCCGAGCTGTGCCGTGCCACGCTATGCCATGCTGAGCCATACCAAGCTGTGTCGAGGCATACCATGCCATGGCATATCGTGCTGTGATGTGGGTGCTGTGCCATGCTGAGCCATACCATGCCATGCCATGCCATGCCATGCTGAGCCATGCCATATTATGCCATGCTGAGCTGTGCTGTGCCATGTCACACCATGCTGAGCCATGCCACCCCATGCCAAGCCATTCCATGCCATGCTGGAGGCAGTGGGTGCAGCATGGGGGCTACGGTCTGGGGAGACCCATGGGTGCCCTGCTCCTGGCTGGCCCTGACACCCCGTGTCCCTGGTAGGTGCGTGCGGATCACCGACACCGGCCTCAGCTACCTGTCCACCATGTCATCCCTGCGGAGCCTCTACCTGCGCTGGTGCTGCCAGGTAGGTGGGGGAACACAGCTGTGCCCATCCCCGCTGGCACAGCGGGGAGGGCAGAGAGGGTGGCATCTCCCTAGGGACTGGCCTCAGGCTCAGGGTGGGCACCCCGGCCTGTCTGAGCCCCCCATGACTTGGTGCTGGGAAGCAAGAGGATGCTGAGGAGTTCAGCAGGACTCAGCCCTGGCACCCTGCCCCTGCCCCAGCACCCTGCCTGGGCACCCTGCCCCTGCCCCCTGCCCCAGCACCCTGCTCCAGCATCCTGCACCCTGCTCAGGCTCCGTGCCCCAGCACCCTGCCCCCCAGGCACCCTGCCCCAGCGATGCTGAGCCCCCCGTGCCGCAATGGCCAGCACCCGAAGAGCCCCCTCCTGGTCCCCCTCCCACTCTCATTCCATTTTCTTTTCCAGGTGCAGGATTTTGGCCTGAAGCATCTCCTGAGCATGGGCAGCCTGCGCCTCCTCTCACTGGCTGGTGAGACACCCCACCCCTTGCTTCCCCAGAATGGGGTGACTGGGTCCTCACGGGTCTGGGGAGACACTGGGTGTGGGGACAGGGACAGCCCTGGGGACAGTCAGCATCCCCCTCCCCAGCATGGCACAGGTCCCCCAGCCCCCTGAGCTGCCTGGGGAACCCACACCCAGCCCAGCTCCCCGGGTATGTGTCCACGGGCTGGGTTTCTGGGGTGCTGGGGGTTTTGGGGTGCTGGTTTTTAGCGTGTTCGTGATTTGGGATACTGCTTTGGAGGGTGATGTTTTTTTGGGGTGCTGAGTTTTGGGGTGCTGGTGATTTTGGGGAGGATGCTGGTGTTTTGGGGTGCTGTTTTGGGGGGTGCTTGTGTTTTGGGGTGACGGTGCACCCTGTCCACTTGCAGGCTGCCCCTTGCTGACCACCACGGGGCTGTCAGGGCTGGTGCAGCTGCAGGAGCTGGAGGAGCTGGAGCTCACCAACTGCCCCGGGGCCACCCCGGAGCTCTTCAAGTACTTCTCCCAGCACCTGCCATGCTGCATGGTGATCGAGTAGCGCCGGATCCAGCCGCCCCGCTCCCACGCCCACCCCGCCGCCACCCCGTCTGACATCGCCCACCCCAGTTCTTTCCGTCTGCTGGGGGGACGCGAAAGACACCATCGAATACAACTGACCCCAGACACTCCCCGCACCGATGCCCCCGAGGGACGCGGGGCTCCGGGGGGAGATGGGGGATGGTATCGCCCCTCACCGGAGCCCTCCTGGGTACCCTGTAAATTCCACCCCACGCTGCCACCATTGCCTGTCCTCCTCCCGGTGTCCTGCCAGCTCCTTCCAGACGGATGAACGGACATCATGGAAACCCAAATTGGGAAGGCGATGGCGGCATGACACCCCCCCTGGCTGTATCCTGCCCCCACCCTGGTGCCAAGATGGCACATAGTCCTGCCACCAAGGGTGCTCCTGGGAACCCAAGGATGCTCCTGAGGACCCAAGGATGCTCCCAGGGATAGGCAGGAGGAGGATGCTTATTTTTGGCACCCGTGGGTGGTGGCAGAGGCTGGATGGGTCCCTTCGCACCCTCGGAGCCGGTAACTGAGCCACCCCCCCCATGCTGCGTGTCCCCCCACGAGCCCCCGGCCCTGCCCTTGGGGTGCCCAGCGCTTTACCCTGGTGAATAGGATGTTTTTCTCCACCCGCCCGCCCGCCACCCTCGCATGCTCGCTTGCTTCAGTCTCGTGGTATGGCAGGCTCCGGGGTACCCAGGGGGGATGGTGACAAGTGACAGCCCCCACTTGGCCCCTCCATACGGCTTTGCCCTGCCCAGATCCTGCCCCGGGAGCTGGCCTCTCCCGGCAAGCATCTCCCCTCACCCTGGGGATCCCACTGCACCCCAGTTTATGTGGGGTCAATGGTGTGACACTGCTCCCCTCGGGATGCCAGCGCCAAGGAGTGACCCATCCGGCTGGGATGGGACATCCCAGGGGACCGGGGCCAGGTATGAGCCGCCGCGGGGACACCAGCAACACAGAGTGAAGGCAGGAGGCAGCACCTAGGACACGCTGCCACCACCGCCGCTCTTCCAGCTGGAAAGCTATCGCCCCAATGCCAGCAGCAAGCGGGGGGCCGGGGGCACCCCTGGGCTGGGCCAAGCCGGGGCCAAGCCAGGCAATGGGGCTGTGGTGCCCGCGGGAACCCGGCGCAGGAGGGGGCTTAGTGGCTGTCCCCGGGGCATCACCCGCTGCCACATCAGCTGCCCACACAGCCCCGGGAGGAGCGTGGGCACCGACACGGACACGGACATGGGCACGGGCACGGACATGGACACGCTTTCGGTTTGTTTTGCCTTTGTACCGGCCGGGAAGGAACTGCTGCACCACCTGCCGCCTCCGCTCCCTCCTTTGTCCAAAATGCCTCTTTCTGGCCCCAAAATGGCACAAGGATTCTCATGGCCCTGGAAGGGGGTTTGGGGTGCACCAGGCGCCACCAGAGCCGTGGGACAGGGTGGCACCACCGGGGCATGGAGTACCCCAGCACAACCATGGGACACAGGTGGCAGGGGCAGGGGACAGGTGGGGCAGTGGCACGTGCAGGGTCCACCCACCCACCCCTGCAGGTGACAGCAGCAGCTGGGGGGTGCCATCAGCCCTGCACACCCCCACAGTCCCACATCACACAGGCAGCCCCAGCACAGCCGCGGCCCTGGGGTTGGGGTGTCCCCGTACCCCCCTCTGCACCCCTCCATGGCAATGCACTCCCATAGCTCCCAGGGCACCCCCATACCCGCCCAGTGCAGCCCCTCTCCCCCATGAGCACCCGCCTCCCTGCACACCAATCCCCCCATGTCCCCCTGTATGACCACCCCCATGTACCCCTAAACCGCACTGTAGCCCCTCACCCCAGGGCACCTCCAACCCCCCAAGCAGCCCAACACCTCACTGCACCCCCATATCCCCTCAGTGCATCCCTACACCCCCAATACACCCCATATCCCCTGAGACCCCCATTTCTCCTCCTGCACCCCACATCCCCCTGCCATCCTCACCCCAATTCACCCCATCTTGCCCCTTGACACACTCATTTTATTCCTGGCCCCCCCCAACCCCCTGGATCCCACATCTCCCCGGCACCCCCACCCCCAACGCACCCCATATCCCCCCGGCACCTCCATTTTCTCCCCCTGTACCCCCGTCTCCCAATGTACCCC